AGAGTGCCAGGAGCCATGGGAAGTCCTATGCCATCAGGCTGTGCCGGCTCTACAGTTGTGGTGCTCCTGGCACTCTAACTGGAGTGGAGGCACAACCAGAACACAAGCTGCTTGCTCTTGCAGCCAGCAGCTCCTGCCACCAGTGCCTCGTTAGCTTTCAGACAGGCAGCAACTGGAGGGTAATAGTTGTCTAAATTTTAGAGGGGCCCTGTGGGCTGGATTTGGCCCATATTTTGCTCTCCCCTGGTTTATAAGTTAGGAAAAAATAAATAAAGTTCAGAGTGAACTGAGTCTGACTCCAGTCTGTAGCTCTGGCGTTGTATAGAAATGCCTCGTCTCAAAATGTTCTTAGCTGGTTTCTGTGGTGCTCTGAGTCATCCAGAGCTAAATGTCATTGATTGGGTGGGCCTAAACTGGTTTCGTGGAGCACATCAACCGGTTGTGGCTTTTTCAAACTGGCACAAGGTCCTTTTTTACCATTTAAACAATGTATTTATCCATCTCCTTTCTATGGTCCATTCAGAACTCCGCAAGTCCTGCACAGCTATATGAAAGATGACCCCTTGAACTCTTCAGATATTCCAGAGCCTTGTCGCATCACTCCATAACAACAGCAAATACTCCACACAGGTGTTTTGCAAACAAGCAAGAAATGGTCCCTCTGTCAGGGTGTTTATAATTTAAGAGGCTGATCTGTTATGTAACTTAGGGGAGCAAATATCTACACCAACATGGGGCCCCACCAAAGTCAAGTCAAGAGCTACAAATGAGTACAAAAAACAATCTTCTATGATTCTATAGGGTGGGAAGCAACTTCAGGAGGTCACCAGTCTAACCCCCTGCTTAAAGCAGAGCCATCCCCCAACTAGATTATCCAAGCCAAAGCTTTGTCTAGCTGGGTCTTAACAACCTCCAAGGATGGAGAGTCCATAACCTGATCACCTGCACAGAGCAAACTGTAATGTGAGAGACAAAGCGGTCAGCATACAAATGAAAGTAGTGATATGCCGCAAGAAGATAAGCAATTAAGTGGTGCACTCAGAGCCAACCTAAGCAGGGTGCAGACTGAAGCAGCTGCCACCACCATCAGCTGGAAGGGGTGGTGGTGGTGTTGCGAGCGGCTGGATGTGGAGCTGCCACTGCTCCACCCAGCTCCGCGGGGTCCTCCAAAGCGCGGGGCCCAGGGCAGTTGCCCTGATTCACGCCCCCCAGGGACGGCCCTGTGTGCACTTTATTCTACCCTTGTAGCATCATGCCTATAAAGGTAATGGGGACCAAATCATGGGTCTCTTAATTCCTTAACATAGGTCTCTACCTATTAGGCTAAAAGTTTCACGTCAGCTCACTGGGGCTGTTGCAACCATACAAATCTCAGTGTGTTCTAGCTGACTAACAAGTCACAAAATAAACCCAGATTTCGAATATCTACTGCATCAAAGATCTTCTGAGCTGTTGTGGTCTTTTGGAGTTTCTTGCAACAGAAAAATTGCTCTACTATTTTTCTGTAGTCAAAAAAAAAAAAAAAAAAAAAA